TTCCATTATATTAATTGAGTCGCACAAGACTGGACACGGACAAACTATGTACCGTATGTCAATATACAACAGGAAACCATAGAAACCTAAGAGAAAAAATAAAGATAAAAATAATTAAAACAATTAAGCATGAAGGTGAAGGGGGGCAGCAGAACGGGGTAAGGGGGAGATGGGTTGTAAATTGACACAAATCTTAGGAAAAGGGGAGAAACTTACCGTAGACGAAAACATAAAAGTGATACAAAAGTGTCACCACAATTGTATGTAACAACAAACAAAACATAGTTACGTCTTAGAATACAAAGCTTTTGAACGGTCAGCAGCATAAGCACTGCTGTATAGTTTAAATCGGTTAATGGTGTAGCAAACCTTACTCTTAGCCCCATTATTTCCAATCAATTTAAAACATTACGATGGATGTTCGAAATGTATTGCTAGTTTTTATCTGGATACTTCAAGTATCAAGTTAACTCAAAAGTGTCCATTTCATGCCCTCGAAGTACTCCCCGTGGCTAGAAATGTAAAGTTTCAACCGATGTGTCAACTTCTTCAATGTACGCTGATTTGGACACAGTAATAAGGTACTGATAAATGGCAGATCCAAGTGCCTGTCGGGACTTGTATGTCCGCGCAGGAAGGAAGGTTTTCAATTTCGGAAACAAAAGGAAATCACATGGGGCAAGGTCTGGTTATATGGTAGGTAAGGTAAAACAGTTACTTTTTCTTTTTTCAAAAACGCCAAAACTATTGCGGATGTACATGTATGTGCGGGGGCATTGTCATGTAGAAGACGGATATGCTTAAAACCAGTGACAGGGCGTCGTTTCTTATAATACTTTATTCAGTTTCTTAAGTACTACGTCTTTGTAGTACTTCCCAGTGATACTTTTGCCCTTTTTCACCGGCACTTTTATTGCGACTCCTTCACCAGAGAAGAAAATTGCATACAAAACCTTCTTTGCACTCAAATACCGTTTAGCAAATAATTCGTAGTTTGTTGTGTTTAGTTGCCCAGATTTTGTTGCTAAGCGTTTCTGACGGACTCAAAATAATGGACACAAGTTTCATCACCTTTGACGACATTGACAAACTGTTTTTTGTCATATTTTGGAAACATTTGAATCAGCTTTTGGCAACCTTAACCCGTTCCTCTTGTGCTTATCGGTCAAAAGATGTGGCACCCATCTAGCAGAAATCTTTCTGACCTTCAAATGCTTTTTCAAAATAAAGTGAACCGTTGATAGTGATATGCCTCCCTTTCGTGTGCAATATCACGAACTGTAAACCTGGCATCTCCTTCAATGATATATATTGGAAATATTTCGTTACGAGATGAAGATTTACCTGCCTCATTTTGGTGCATGTTTTGATGCACTCTACACCAGACCATTTCTTTTTCCATTGCCTAACTGTGTCATAATCACAAAAGAAAACTCATAAGCAGTAGAGAGTTCAGTCATCAGCTGCTTCAAAGAGCAACCTTGTTTTGAACGAGCTTTGATGTAAGCCCGTATTTCATCTTTTTTGTCGACTCTTCTACCAACCATTTTTACAACAGTGGTCGATGACTTTTTTAAATGGCAAATTGCATGTTTTACACTAAGTACTCCCCGTGGCTAGAAATGCAAAGTTTTCTAACATGAACATTTATACACCTTTATGTGGGTATTGAATTACCCTATACAGGTATGTATTGGTTTTTATCGTGTCCCACGTGGATCACGAGAAAGAGGACAATAAGCAATTCTTTTCGAACAGCTCTCGTATATATAAAATGAATCCTCGCCAAGCGAAATAAGGTTAATCTGAAATGTATGTTAAGCAAGCATATATAACTATACATATTTTGTCTGTTTGTTTGTTTGTATGTTTAAAGAAAGTTTATAAAATTAGATTTTTAAGAATGTTTTAAAACCTAGAAATGTCTGCGAGAATGTATTTAGGCACTTGACTTAAATTCAAAATGTTTCTACATTAAGGCTTTCGCTACTTACTTGTTCTGCTAATGCCAATAGTGCAGGGGCGATGGGAACGGTAGTAGTATGTCGCACTCATTTACCAGTACACTCCAGACTTATTTCAATTTTTAAATAAATTCGAGTGTACAGCATATTCAAATTTTACATTTAAACTTAAATTAGGTTAATATGTGCATTATATATAAAATTATGCTAACTAGCGTCATTTATTTAATAATAATTCACAAATTTACACACAAATTTTATGTTTTGCTATAGCATCAAAACTTAATATAAGTTTCTTTATCAAGTAATATTTGTTGTTTTGTGTTGTTGTTTTTTTTCACAAATGATTTAAATTTTGTTTTTTGCTTTGTTGTCTTAACAGTTTTAACGTATGACATGCATTTTTTAGATTTACTCAATTAACTACACTAAATTTGAACGTTTTTTTGTAGCTAATGTCATATATATCGTTCCCAAATTTCAAACCGATTCATGCAACTTTTCGATATTTCTGTTGACTTTGTTTTATTGAGTGAACTGACATTTATTAAAATTTAGACCAGTTGAAATATCAAACAACTTAACCTGTTTTGAATATCAAGCGCGTATTTATGTTATTGGTGTGAGAAAATGGACTTAATGTTCATAAATAGAGGACACAAATATCTTGAGCGCAAGCTTACCCTTGGAACTTATTGGCACAATGAAACTTTTTAACGTCTCATTAAGCCTTTTTTCTTCTCAAGGAAGTGTTTTGACGAAACCATAAACTATCTCTTGTTTACTTTGCTCTGTGTACAAATTGTATATTGAGTGAATTATTGTATGTACGGTAGTTAAAATACTTTTTGTTGACATTTTGATACATTTACAACACATCACTGCATGTTCAGCGCTACTTTTTTTCGGTTGTTGTATTGCTCTTATTCCATTATAAAAATATTATCAAACACATTATGGCCATTTCTAAAGAATCACATAATATGGATTTCTGAGGCAGAATGTGCCTTCAAACTTATTGCCCAATTAGTCATGGATTTTGAAATACACAATGATTTGATGGTACATAACGTGACGCTGGCGATAAAAAAAGAATTTGTCAACGATTATGTCAAGCGACTTTGTTTCCTTGTCAGTGTTGGTAGATTATAGCTTCTGTCTAAGTGGTCCTTTAGTTGTTCGAATGCAATTATATAAGCTTTTTTCAGAAAAGAAGAACACGAAACACTGTGTTGCTGTTGAACTTAAAGATCCTGTATGTTGTAATTACGGTTGTTACCATGTGGTGGTGTTTGTAGTTTTCACTCCGAATCACGACCGTAAGCCACATTGAATTGGTTGTTAACACATTAAGTGAAACTTTATATAATTTATGCATATAATTATGCTTCGGAAACAATTTTCAAACATCGAAGAATATGTTCAATCAATATGTACTACAAATATTTGTCCACATTATATGTGATCATTAATAATTATGCATTCATTGCTTATTGAAAACTGTGATTCAGACGTTACGAAACAAAATCTAGTTACCTTCCTGTATTAACATGAAATGTAAATTCGGTAATTATATCTTTACAAATAATGCTTTTTGCAACTTGAATTATTGATAAATCTCCATTTGAGCATTATAGTTATGAAAAAAAAAACTTTAAAAATGTGTTACAGGATCCCTAACTTTGAAAATAAAGTATAATAGAAGTGTAGTAATTTTTAAAATTTGTTCACTAACATCTGGTGTTATATATTTTTATACGGTTTATTTGAGTTGCATGTCTGCCGATTTCTAGTTTTCGTACAATTCATGTTTTAATTCGGGTAAAACGAAAAACATAATTTAGTGAAATTATCATGAAAAGATATACAAATAAGTTAAACATAGAACAAAAGCATAATGAAAAAAAATATAATGGAAAAGCATACAAAATGTACAACAAGGTTACACACTTAATAACACTTTATTATGTTGGACCACATATTGCATTGTATTGTATTTGTTATTTGAAAGTATTATGCATAATCATATGAGAAAATTCAAATTTGGTTACCCATGATAATTACATCGCCACATATTTTAAACTGCCAGTTTTTCGAATATGATATTATGACTTTGACTTGAACGTAACCATGTGATGTTTTCTTTAACAATATAGCCATGACCTTGTTATGGGTTTTAATACATGTAGTCACGTAAACGTTTTACATTATTGAAATCTAATTCATTTTTAGCACAAATAATAAAAAAGGTTCACATGACATTAACATATGTCCATAAAAATGTAAAATCAGCATTAACAATTTTGTAGTTCAATTGAGTAAAATTAAGTCACCTTAAGTTACATACAGTAGGAAATGTCATTTAAAAAATGACGCAAATCGGCATGATTTTACTGACTTTAATATGTTATAATACAATTATTTATCAATTGCCCTAAAGTTGAACAGCCTCATCTATGCATCGATTTAAGTGTATGTATATCAGATTATTTTTCTTCTAATAATGTAATATTTTTATATCACAAAAATGTAAAAGATATAGTATAAAAAAAGCTTTTTGTTTCATACCTTAATTAATTAGAAAGAAAATATAGAACACATATTTGGAGTAACATTATGCTCATAATTATAGTCATTGCTAAATTGAGCTGAATTAACTATATATTTCAAAACATTGACTGCTTTACCAGTGATTGACCAACGGGTGATATGTCTTGTATAAAATATAAATATGTCTAAAATATAAAATGCCTGCCACACTCTTTTATAAACTGAACTGTGCCAAGTAAATGCAGATTGATATTTTTAGAAATTACCTTGGACCACATGAGTTATTTATAGTTATAGTTAGAGTTATATAAGAAATAAACGGAATTATCATTGCAAAATATGAAGTTAATTTGACCTAAACCTGTTCACTTACTACATACCATAATGGCTGACCATTATGTCACTTTAAGCAGCTGATACAGTAAATTAGCCAAATTAGAAACTATACAAACAAGTGTGAACTCACTGAATTTACGCATTCAAAACATGGATAAAAAAATAAACGATCTCGAAAGAAAAGTTCTCGATATTGAGAGAAGTCGAGAATTCGACAGCCAAACATTTTCAGAAATAAGTAAACAACAGAAAGGTTTGGATACTTACATGAAAAAAATGGAAAAGTTCGAAAAAGAGCATAAAGAAATGGAAAACGCATTAAAGGCAGAAATAATAGACCTTAAATCCCGCAGTATGCGCGACAATTTACTGTTTCATAAGCTACCGGAAGAGAAAGATGAAAACTGCGAGGAAAAAATAAAACATTTCATCCAAGATAAATTGAAGATCGATAACGCCATTGATACGATACGGCTACAGAGGGCTCACCGGGTAGGTCCCTTTAAGGCGGGCAAGAGTCGACCGATAGTGGCCAAGTTCACGGAGTTTCACGATCGTGAAAAAGTTCGACGAGCAGCGAAAGAACTAAAAGGATCAAACTTCGGGATTTCAGAGCAGTTCCCTAAGGAGATCGTGGAGCAGCGAAGGAAGCTTATACCTATCATGCTACAAGCTAGGAAGGATGGCAAAGAGGCTTACCTTAAAGTTGACAAGCTATATATAAACAATCAGCTATATCGCGGATCTACATAGGACTCTTGTGAGAATGTACTTAAGTGTCTTTCGTGGAACATAGAAGGACTAACCTATGAGAAAACAACATCACAAGAATTTTTGAATATTGTGTGTGAGTATGAAATAATATGTCTAAGTGAATCATGGACAAATAAGAACTCCAATATTGATATTCACGGTTACTCAAATCCTATTCATTCTTATCGAAAAATTCAACATAGGCGAGCAAAAAGATCGAGTGGTGGTTTAATTGTTTACATTAAGAACAATATCCGAAACGGTGTCACATTAATACAAAATACAATAGACTGTATTATCTGGCTAAAGTTAGATAAGTTTTTTTTCAATATTGAAGACGATTATTATATATGTTTTACTTATATTGCGCCGGAATCTTCGCCGGTTCATAACGTGTATAATGTTGATATTTTCACTCAACTCGAACAAGATATAATTTTTTTTAGTGAACGTGGGAAAATATTTTTGTCTGGTGACCTAAATAGTAGAATTGGTAGTAAAGCAGATTTCATTCAATTTGATCGTAATATAGAGGCGAATGACGTAATTACCGTCGACACTTTCTTGCCTCGTTCCACGCAAGATGGGTCAACCAATCGTTTTGGGGATAGCTTGCTAGATCTTTGTAAAGCAACCAATCAACGCATAGTTAACGGTAGATGGCCAGGTGATCGTGGGAATTTTACCTGCGTGACCTACAACGGGGCTAGTGTAGTTGATTATTTATTGACAAGTCAAAATAACTTTGACCTCATTGCCAATTTCGCGGTAAATGAGTTCACTACTTACTCTAACCATGCACCCCTATCTTTCTCTTTTAAAATAAACTCAAAATTAAGTTATGACAGCTGTAGGTATAAGGAGAAGTCATACTATAAGTTTGATGATAGATACAGGGAATTGTTTACACTCGATTTAACTAATAACATACAGTCTTTATTAAATATTTTAAATACAGAAATAAGCGGTGACGGAGATGTTGATACGCTTACTTCTATGTTTACGAACTTTCTGTGTACGCACGGTGACAAGTATTTTAAAAGATCATCTCACGAAACGTCAAATATCTGTTATCAAGTACGTAAAAAGAATGAAGAATGGTTTGATCATGTATGTCGGAGTAAATATGACACATATAAAAAAGCAGTTACGCAATTTAACCTAACGTTTTCTGATGCGGATAGGGTTTCAATGTATAACGCAAAAAAGGATTATAAATACCAATGCCGAAAATCTAAAAATTCTTTTAATTATTCACAAGGCCGAAAAATGAACCAATTACGAAGAAAATCTCCCAGGGAATTCTGGAAAATGTTTAAACATAATAAAACAAGTAAATCTGGGGAAAATATATCTAATCAAGAATTTAATGACTACTTTAAAAATCTTATGGGCGGGGATGATCAGTGTGATGATGAAGAATTTGTACGGAATTTGAGGGATTTTGATACCGATTTAAATCGACAAGGTAATAATGAGTTGTTGGACTTGCCAATATCTGATGACGAAATTTTAAAAGCAATAAAGAAGTTAGGGTCAAATAAATCACCTTCAATTGATAATATTTTATATGAGTATTTTAAGGTAGCTGCCCCTCTTTTAGTTAATCCTCTGAATTTATTTTTTAATCAAATTTTAAATTCTGGCAAGTTCCCTCGTGCTTGGTCCACTGGAGTAATTATACCTATATATAAAAAAGGGAACCAGTCTGATCCAAATAACTATAGGGGCATCGCTATAACCAGTTGTTTTGCAAAACTATTTACTGTTTTACTTAATGAAAGATTAAAAACATGGGTAGAAGTGAACAACGTTTTAACTGATGCCCAATTTGGCTTTAGGAATAAATATAGTACTGTAGATCCTGTTTTTATTTTAAACGCATTAATTCAAAAGCAATTTCTGAACAAAAATAAACTGTACTGTTGTTTTGTAGATTATAAAAAAGCTTATGACTCTATCGAGAGAAGTAGGCTATGGTATAAATTTATAAAACTAGGAATAGATGGTAAATTTCTGTCGGTATTAAGATCAATGTACAGCGAAGTGAAACTTTGTATAAAACATTTAGGGAGCCTATCTGACTTTTTCAATAGTAATTTAGGTTTGTTCCAAGGAGAAATAACTTCGCCGATTTGCTTCTCTTTATTTTTAAATGATATAGAAATGCAATTACAGGAAAATATTGACGCTGGAATAAATATTGATCAAATTGCGATACACGTATTTGCTCCTATTCGCTGATGACGCGGTAATCGTCTCTGAAACAAGTACTGGGTTACAGAAATCACTCGATAGTTTATATTCTTATTGTTGTAAATGGAACATTACAGTTAACATAGAAAAAACTAAAGTTGTAGTGTTTAGGAAAGGGGGGAAGTTAAGAAGAAACGACAAATGGTATTATAATAATCATGAAATTGAAATAGTCAAGTCTTTTAATTACCTAGGGGTTGTATTCTCCAGTGGAGGGTATTTTATGCAAGCAGCAAACACATTAGCCGGGAAAGGATTGCGATCTCTACATTCTTTGTGGGCTATTGTTCGTAGTATGAAAGTTCCAATAAATATATTGTTTAATCTTTTTGACTCGTATGTACTTTCTGTTTTAAATTATGGCGCAGAGGTATGGGGTTATATAAATCCAGAGGTTGTAGAAAGAGTACATAAGAAATTTTGTAAATGGATACTAAATGTTAAGCAATCTACACATACTCTAGCTCTCTAGTGAGTTAGGTAGATTTCCACTCTATATAGAAAGACATGTTAAAATGGTTAAATATTTTCTGATGATTAATACCGTCAAGTCTGAAAATTGCATACTTAAGGCAGTTTTACAAGATCAAATCAAAAGTCTAGAGCTAAACAAATCAATAAAAAATTGGGTCTCATATATACGCGATATCCTTCAGTCTTCTGGTCTAAGTGAAGTCTGGTTATATCCTGAATCCGTTAAAATAAATGTATTTGTTCCAGTCTTACGTTGTAGGCTTAGAGATATATACATAAGTAATTGGAGAACGGGGTTGCAGATGTCAAGTTCCTTAAATATTTTCCGGGAGATAAAAAATACGTTTGAGCAGTCAAATTATATCAGACTATTAGAAAATACAAAATTTAGAAACGCACTGGCTAAATTACGTTTCTCTTCTCATAAACTTAACATTGAAGTCGGCCGACACTACAATATTCCGCGCGATGAACGAAAATGTACACTATGTAATTTAAACGACCTAGAGGACGAATTTCACTTTGCTTTAAAATGTACAGCTTATGTCGATTTAAGAAGGCTCTATATACCCAGGTATTATTATACCCACACAAATATAATTAAGTATATATCATTAATACAAAGTAGTAATAAGAAGATCATAAAAAATTTGGCTCTATATTGTTTTAAAGCTTCCAAATTAAGGGATTCACTATTGTAATAATATAAATTTCGTTCTCAATCTGAAATCATTCCTTTTTTTGTTAATTTTTTTTCCATGTAACTTTTGAGTATATATAAATATATTTTTTCCTTGTTACATTCTCACGATATATGTGTTTAAGGAAATAATAATTCATGTATTTTATGTAAAATCTTCCATGTCATACCAATATATATATGTTCTCTTTTTCATTGTTAACGACGATGGGCTTGTAATGCTTAAGTCAAATAAAATATTTGTTCTTGTTCTGATATTCAAACGATTGGGAAATTATGTACGTTTAAGGTCTATATTAATTAAAAACTATTTTTTTGAATTTCAATTTCAGCACAATCTTATTGTCATACTGAAGCAATGTACCGATACATTCAAGTTTGTTTTGTACTCATTTAACAAATGCGTAAATAGGGAAGTAAGAAATCTTAATAGAAACCAGTAAACAGTGAACGTTATGTCTTAATGTACCTATAAAAAGAAAGCAACGACTCAACTAGTTCAGCTAAAACAACAACTTCAAGTATGATTTTATCATCGTAGTAGACTTTTTTAAAAATCATCTAAGTAGTAACTCTCCAAGACAAGAATAAAACAACTATAAATCGGATAAGGTAATTATAAAAGGGTGTAAAATTAGCCATGATAGTCAAATGGCTGTTCACGATTTTTTTTTCATTATTTTTTAATGATTTTATGAAGTTCTATATAAACAAAACACGTGTGGGTAAAAATGTCAGATCGCTCGCTCACTCTCTCTTTATGAATTAAAGTCAGAAATCAATATCTGTAAAACCTATAAAATATAAATTCAGGCTAAGAATATTTTAAAAAAAATGATTTTTTTAAATTTCATTTTGAGTACACATATTTGATATCTTCTGTTTTGCCTTCCGTTTTAAGTTCCCCAGTTGATAAATAAAAGAATTTAATTTTGTATGATTTTATGATTTTGAAACTTAGTTGAGTTTCTTTAAATAATAAAAACATGTTTCTTTTGTCACAAACATTATATGATATTTAAAGTTGACACGATATTAAATTTGACACGTGTCTTGATTGATTGGCTTTTCATGTATTATAGTAATTGTTTTGTTTTTTTTTTTTTGTTGTTGTTTTTTTTTTTTTTTCTTTTGGTAGCATATTTTCATTTTACAATGTACAGATACTAATTGATGTATATAAGAATTTCAAATTTTATGCTTCTGGATTTTGGACCTTTTCTCTTAGAAGCAACTTGTAATTGGTTATTATCAATCTAAAATGAAGATTTCACTTTTCTTACATTTTTTTCACTCCTTAGGTTTTTTACAGTTACTGGTGTATTCAAAATCAATATTTTGATGACGCCATTGTTGTCAGGCAACCATTGCGAGTGCATGTCGTGCATAAATGTCGTGAACTGTGATACTATACATCTCAGCATAATGTCGTATTTTTGCCAATATATAGCACCTATAAATGACTGACACTTGAACCAATCAAAGCAATCATTACACCTTTAAGATATAGATATATACAATGTATTTACATCTTTTGACATGTTCATATACCGATTCAATTACCTGCAAT